GCATTCTGTTAGGTCAGCCCTCCAGCTCATCTCCCCACTCTCGATTCTTGCTTGCATGGCCTCCCTGGGATCACGGCCCATTCTGGGATCACTGTCGACTCTGGGATCATTGGCCACTCTGGGATCAGGGCCCACTCTGGGATCACTGGCCACTCTGGGATCACGGCCCACTCTGGGATCACTGGCCACTCTAGAATCACTGCCACTCTGGGTCCAATACCCACTCTGGGATTACTGGCCACTCTGGGATCACTGCCCACTCTGGCATCACTGGCCACTCTGGGATCACCGGCCCACTCTGGGATCACAGCCCACTCTGGGATCAGGGCCCACTCTGGGATCACAGCCCACTCTGGGATCACTGCCCACTCTGGGATAATTGGCCCACTCTGGGATCACTGCTACTCTGGATTACTGCCCATTCTGGGATCACTCCCCACTCTGGGATTACTGCCTACTCTGGGATCAGGGCCCGCTCTGTGATCACTGGCCCACACTGGGATCATAGCCCACTCTGGAATCACTAGCCACTCTGGGATCATGGGCCACTCTGTGATCACTGGCCCACACTGGGATCACAGCCCACTCTGGCATCATGGCCCACTCTGGGATCACGGCCCACTCTGGGATCATGGCCCACTCTGGGATCATGGCCCACTCTGGGATCACTGTCGACTCTGGGATCACAGTCGACTCTGGGATCACAGCTCACTCTGGGATCACAGCCCACTCTGGGATCACGGCCCACTCTGGGATCACGGCCCACTCTGGGATCACGGCCCACTCTGGGATCACTGTCGACTCTGGGATCACAGTCGACTCTGGGATCACAGTCGACTCTGGGATCACAGCTCACTCTGGGATCATGGCCCACTCTGGGATCATGGCCCACTCTGGGATCACAGCCCACTCTGGGATCACTCCCACTCTAGGATCACTGGCCACTCCGGGATCACGGCCCACTCTGGGATAACTGTCCACTCTGGGATCACTCGCCACTCTGGGGTCACTGCTGACTCTGGGATGACTGGTCCACTCTGGGATCACTGGCCCCTCTCCTTTGCATTGCCCCCAACAACTCAGAAGTGGACTACATGGCTCGGAGCTAGCTGGGACATGGCAGTGTGTGCCAGAGTGGAGTGCACCTGTCTCCCCCTTTGGGATAATGAGGGCTCTCCCATG